GGGGAGACGAGACGAGGAGCCGTATAGAGGCGAGAAATAAGAGGCAGATAGTGAAAGGCAAAGTCATTTGATCATAGTATTATTTTGTTTGGTACCGTCCAGGGGGGTGTAAAGTAAGTATGTAATGCAACCTAGGAACGGCAGAGAGCAGAAGCGAAGTAGTAAAAGTAAAGTAGAACAGAGTGTAAGTAGGTTTGTAGGTAACAAGAACCACATGCTCCCATATTATTGTGTAAACAGAAGAGAAGTAGAAGGAGGCAAAAGCGGAAGAAAGGGCAAAAAACAAAAAAAAGTGAGCAAAGACCGATTGAATTGATTTTAGTCCTCCCATAATTTTACCACAAAAGCCTACCCATCTCCCTGGTATGGTATTCCTCCCTAGATGCCCGTTTTAATTTTGAAGCTTTTTTTTGAAATTTGGAATTAATGCTGTGTGGCTGGATTGTTGCTGGTGTGAAATTGATTAGAGCGGACGGACGGTTCCAGGTCGAGACGGACGAAATGAGAAATGAGAAATGAGAAAAGGGGGGGCGCACGACGAAAGGGGCCCAGCCGAGCCGGGCTCATGCTCATGCTCATGCTTATGCACCGGGGGAAATTGTAAATGAACCAAAGGGAAAAAAGCCGAGGATATACCGAGTAAAGGAAGTAGAGTAAAGCGTGGAAGGGAAGTATTAACGCAGCACAGCGGGAGAGGGAGAGGGGGTACGAGTCTGGGTCGTGCAACCAATCCATGGTTTGAGATCGGTGATCGAGATAGATGGGACCGTGTAAAGATGTAATTGATGTAACCTCCCCTCCCCCGCTCATTGCACGTCGAATGAAAGTGAACAGAAGGCAGAAAGGAAAACAAAGAGAAGCAGAAGAGAGGAAAAAGCAAAAGAGCTCAAGTCTGGACGTTGTTAGCTGCTTGTCGTCTGGTCGCCGTGAGTTGAGCCTCTCCCAGCGATCGTGGAATGTTTGGTACGGTGCACGAGCCTCGAGAGGGGGGGGTGTTAGTGTTAGTGGAGAAGGAGGGAGGACATGCTCTTGTTTCCGGATGTAGATAGAAGAGATTGAGTGAAAAATAGGGGGGGAGGTTAGAAGGATTTCGGGGGAAAAAAAAAAAAAGTAGGCTGGCTAGCTTGCTGCTGGGCCTAAGAGTCGGTGCCAGTGGAAAGTGTAAAAAAAAAAAAAAAGAAGAAGGTAAGTTGTGAAAATCGAATCAAATCAAATATGCTAGGGTTGAGTTGTGGATGCTGCTCCGATCCATGGGTTCGATGGTTGAGGCGGCGCAGTGTAGTTGTAGCCATAGCGCTGTATGAACCTTTCTTAGCGTACCAGCAAAAATCCGATGGTATGTACGGAGGTGCAGGGATTGTTATTTGTTGATGCTTGGTGATGTAGTTGTAGTAGTAGAAAGTGGGTTGAGTGATCTAGATGCAAGTCGAATGCCTCCCGTCTATCGCGCAATGATAAGAGAAAATCCCATGATGCTGGGGTGCATGCCCGTGCCTACGGTGCCTGTGACTCCCGTTATTCTAAAACCCTTGGGTGTGACCAGGGTGCCACTAGAGAGCAGTTAGCATTGGTGACAGGAGTAAGAGCGTCCATCTGGTGTATGGACATACCCCTGAGTTGCCTTGGAACATCCATAAACGCCGGACCGTCTACCGAAACTAGTAAGAATCCCAATGCCGTGTACTCCGTCTTTGTCGGCGCGGAGATGGAAGCCCATCATCATTTCACCTCGCCGAGATTCTAAGCAGTCAGATATAAATCAGAGACAAGGAGTCGAGAGAAGTAGAAAAAGACGTACCAATTGTGTATTCGTCGTCAATCATGGCCTGCCCCCTGGAGCCAAAGAGCTGGCTGCTGCTGTCTTCATAGCGGAACTCAATGCCTGCAATTGTTGTCCTGGGCGAACCTTCAGGGTCTGAACCGGGCTTCTCCGCTGAGTACACTCTTATGGTAGTGACGGGCTTGTTTGTCTCAAAGAAGACGTCCTGTTTCTCTAGAGAGCCCTGCAGACTGTCTGCTGGCTGGTAAGGAAGGTAGTTTGCCTGTTCACTGCCGGTGACGGTGGGTATCTTGACGCACCAGTCCTTGGCCTTGCTGGCAGTCAGGGCGGACAGGTCGGAGACGGTGAGGACGGAGAGACAGCCCGAGTAGATGCGTAGACGGACGAGCTTGGACTTTCGAGCGCCGTCCGGCAGCTGGGCTCTGATCTCGGCCTCTGTGAAGCTGGCTTCCTTTGGAATGCCGCTGTTGCCGGCGCTGGAATCGACGTACTCGATAAAGGCAGCTGGAACGTCAGTCTGGGCGGAGGTGAAGATCTCGATAAAGGCGATGCCAGCACTGGAGGTGGCGAGCATCTTCTCGCCGTCGACGGACCAGAGCTGGATGATGTCTGAGGAGGGACAGCTGGGGTCGCTGGGCATCTTGAAGCAAGGGTGGAAGCGGAATCTGAGGACGTCGAGACGGTTCCAGCGGCATTCGTCTGGCTGGAGGAGCAGACGGGCGCCCTGTTCCTTGGTGCGAGTCGAGTAGGGCTCCCAGGTCATGAAGGTCCGGTTGAAATGCAGGTAGTCGGAGCCCATGATGCCTGAATCAGAGTCGGTGCAGCCGAAGAGGTGGCCGACCTCGTGCAGGTGGCGGCCGAGCGAGGAGCTGGCGGTCTCCCAGTTGCTGCCGCACTCGTTGTTGTGGTTGGCAACGTAGGCGGTGTCTGTGCGTGCGCAGTCTGAGAAGCAAGGGACGATATCCTGGAGACAGGCCGGGTAGCTGTGCAGGCCGTGGGAGCCGAACAGGGCGAGCTTGAGGTCGGCGGACTGCGAGGATCCCAGGGCAGCATGACCGGTCAGGGACTGGGTGTTGCTGTCCCAGTGGGTGTCGAGCAGGAGGGCCGAGACGTAGCGCTGCTCTCCGGGACGCAGGTCAAAGTACTTGCGTACCGCGTCCATGGCGACCCTGAACAGGTCGGTAGAAGTTGAAGCCGTACCGCTATTATTATTATTATTGCTAAGAGCTCTGAGCTGCTGGACGGTGTGGTCGCAGCGGATGATATGGACCTTTGCCTCGCTGCGCATGATGCTGTTCTCGGGGTCTCGCCCGCTGAGGCTGCCGGTCTGCCACTCTTCCTCGAAGTGGAAGCACCTGCGGCCAAAGTTGTGTCTGTACATCTGCTCGCCGGTGAAGGCCTGCCAGAGATAGGCGGCCATCCTGAACTTGCGGACGGCATTGTCGAGGTCGTTGGCGGCCTTCTTGCTGCTGGCTGGAGCGGCGTCGTAGTGCGCCTGGGAGTCTGAGCCGAGCAGGATGGCGAGCTGCAGCGGCGGCGAGTTGGCCAGCGGGAGGTAGTTGACGTTGATCCAGGCGGTATGGGGCGCGGCCGAGG